GCGGCGGTGAGTCGAAGTCGTCGACCGAGGAGTCGAGGACGTCGCACTCGGGGCTGTTGTCGCCGGCGTCACCGGCACCACCGCAGCTCCAGGTGAGCTCGCCGTTTTGCATGTCGCACGCGTCGTAGTGCACCTTCCGTGCGACCTCCATCTTCGCAAGCCGTACGATCACGTCACGCACGTGCGGCGTGCGTGCCGCAACGCTTCTCACGATTCACAATTTACGGGAAAGGAAAAAGTTAGACTAAAAGAACTTGGAGTAAATGTCGGCTGTTGCAGAGCTGAGACAAAATCGAGAATTGATCGAATCACTAACGACGTCGACGTTAACACACTCGCGACCGCGTTCATCCAAAGCTCCGACGAGAGCACCGTTCATTCCGGCGATCGCGTTCGTTGTGGCGTTTATGATGGCCGCTGGGACAGAGCGGAGTGACCGACGGTATACGGTCGGCCGACCGACCAATCAACGCGCTCGGTACGGAGACCAAACGGATGTAACGCAGTCTCTAATTGGTGCTCTGCCGTTCTTCCATCACCGCGGTACCTACCGGCCTGTTTTGGACTGCATGGAGCCGAGGGGTAGATTCTTGTGAATTCGGCGAAATTCTATACTATTCTACTATTTTCCACACAACATATTTTCCCATAGGTCTTTCTTGACGTCGAAAAGTAATAGAATAGAAATCATTTCCTTATTACGCCGTTTTGTTTCCCTGTGAAACTAAAATGGAAACGATAAACATGAATTTTTTTGAATCGTTGACTTTACTTTTCGACATGCGCGATGATAGGAGGAACGGCGATACTTTTCAAGATACTTTTTCGAAATTCAAACTCTCCATCTACTCGTGAGGCGACTCTCGCATCGGTGAATGCTATTACGATAATTTTTCATACGTAGATGATATTTCCTCCGAAAATTTCCTTTATATGTGAGTAACCCAGCAAACGAGAATGAATTAAAATGAATTGAAATTTTTTTATACTTTAAATAGCGAATACTTTTTTTGGATTTAATTGGATTCAATTGGATTCAATTAGATTCAATTGGATGCAATTGTGAATTGAAAAACTGCTTTTCCTATTCAAAATTTTGAATTGAACAGTATTCACAATGCATAGAAAAAGCTAATATTATTATATTGATTAATTTTTATATTTATATTGATTAATATTTTTAGATTGAAAGGTATAGAGATATACTCCAATTCCTATAAATAAAAATGCATTCAGAATTGAAAAGCATTCATTTTAATATTCATGAATCAATATTTTTGAAAATCTGAATTTTCAATTCATTTCAATCCATTCTCGTTTACTGGGAATAGAACGTATAGTATTATCTGGTAAGTAATATGCGACGTTATCGAATGCATGAGGGAGGATCGGTGTTATTTGAAAAGAGTGCATAAAGATGAAACTGTCTTTCAGGAATAGTGATCGACATTTGGTTCGAAAGAATATAAAGGATAAAATCAAGGAAAAAGTAAAAATATGAAAATATACATGTATTAAATTATCATTTTTTTCAAGAAATATTAACATTTTTAAAAAACAATATATAATTATATATATAATTATACATTGAGAAAAAGATGTCTAAAAATATATTTGTGAGAAACATATTTAATTTTATTGAAATAAATATTTATTTAAATACGGGCAAAATAAAATTTTATTCCTAGCAAATAAGCCATCTATTT